ATGAATTTATTCAATAAAACCGAAGAGTTATCGCGGTTTGAAAATGAGCTATTTTTGCTAATTATCGAATATAGCAAAAATAGCTCATTTTCAAACCGCGATAACTCTTCGGTTTTATGTAGTAAATTCATGTTTTAAAGTATCAGTATAAAGAGTAAACTTTCCTGAATTCACTGATGTAATTTTATTTTAGTTTACTTGTAAAAAAGTACAATTTACTCCAGAATATTTCAATGCCACTTTTTCAACACCCAAAACATGCATAAATATAATGGGAATTTAACATAAGTAAAATGCGATATATATATACAAAATTATTCAAAACTTCTTTTATTAAATTACTAAACAAAAAGGTTATCAAAACATACCTTTGAGAAAACGAGATCTTCACAGCAAAAATCGCAATATATTTCAACAGTTTTTAATCGAACGGCGTGTTGAGAATAAATAGCTTGAATAATAATGAGCCGCACTGATTCACGCGTTGCATTTCGGGAAGACCCTCATTCCTCCTCTGGGGCGAATTCGAAAGAGTTAGAAGATATTCAGAATAGACACTTCCCGAATTTGCTTGAGTGCACACGAAACAATAGCTTGGAATCGAGGCAGACAATGTAATCCATTGGAAAACTATACTTATTTCCTAGTGTGTCTATTGAAATTTGAAATAATTGGCCAATGGTATGTAAATATACGATTGTTTCGGGTTTTGGTGGCATTTGCGGGAGGCCAGGTAACATAGGCTTACCGGGCGGGGGGGCGGGGGGTGGCGGTAGCCCCCCCAGTTTTTGGGCAGTCGGGCAATATTCGATTAACAATCGGGCAATTTTGGGTTGTTATAAAAAAAAATCGGACAAATTCTGTCATTTTTTTCAAAAATTTAGTCAATTTTGTGGCAAATGTGTTTTTTTTGAAAATTTATGCGATGCTCCGAAAAATTTTGGTACGTCCGGAAAATCTTTTTGACCCCTTAAATGGTACACTGACCGAAATTTTTTTTGCGCCGGGGGTGGGGGCGGAGGTCGCCAAAAAAAATTTTCCGGAAAAAAATTTTTGGTACTAGTCGGGCAAAATCACGAAAAGTCGGGCAATTTTACGAAAAGTCGGGCAATTTTCTTTCCGCCCCCTAATTTTTTCCTTCCGGTACGCCCATGCCAGGTAAATACTCGGGGGTAAATATTCGCTGAAATGTAGAATTACAAAAATTGAGTCAAACTACCGCTTGTCAAGAAAGAATAAATTAAATACCGAAATTAAAAACTGTGCTGTTGTGTTTGTAATAAAATTTATGCATGTATAAGTACTCATCTTTAAGGTTCAAATTCATGCGCGTTTGATGAAAGAAAAATTGTGATTGGAATGCATTCGTCACTAAACAAAAAGTATAATGGTAAAATTTGAGGTTAAAATTAGATTAATGTTGGGCATGTATGGACGACTTGCGCTTTAGAAAAATTTTTAATCTGGGAATAACAAAGGATATTTTTGGAAAGAAGTTATCAAAATTAGAAAAACTGCAAAGTTTGGTTGCGAAATGTTGTAAAATACGGAAAATATAGCCCTGCGAAGTTGGCAAATTTGTATACATTTCTATTACGTGCGGAAATTGGTAACTAATTTAGTTACCAATTCACGCACGTAATACAAAAGTAAACAAATTTGCCAACTTTGAAGGGTTATATTTTCCGTATTTTACAACATTTCGCAACCAAATTTTGTAATATTACTAATTCCAAGACGTTCTTTCTAGCTGTGGTGATAGATTTCGTTGTTCTTACTTAGATTAAAATTTAGTCTAAAGCGCAAGTCGTCAATTCACATGCAGTAGAAACTTAAATTAATCGAGCTCACCATATGCCGCTACAAGTGAGAAAAGACAAGTGCAAGTGGGCCTTTATTTTCACTAACATCTTTCACTAACGACTTTAGCGTATTTATCACCTGCTAATCCATTATATAGTCACTTGCTCCGTGACTCGCATATAGAAACAATGTTTGCTACCTCGACCATGCTGAAGATGCTCTATTTAACCATACTAATGCTGACTATTCCAAATATTGCGCAGAACTGTTCTCCCAGGTATTATGAGACCATCACAAAAGGTAATTAAGCCTTCCGTTTTTATTCAATAAATTAAAGTATTACATTTAAAACGTCAATGTCGCTATACAGTGCTAATTCCATTAACAAGGCGTGACCTATTTGAGCTTTTTACTTTGACATAGGAGGTCCACCTTTACCTTCAGATGAGGTTAAATCGAGTCATAGTGTTGAAAACCCAACCGTCCAGATAAAGTGCTATAGTCTTTGTGAGAAAGAACCAAAATGTGTTGGATTTAACAACAGAATTACAACAACCAAAGTTGAAAACTACCAACTGACCAACGTTACGAAAACGAGATATACAACAACATCAGGAGATTGGACATTGTTACGCGATATTGAAGCGGTATGTTAGAATTTATTTCTTCCATTTCACTTGCACTGCGCGTTTTAATGTTATGGAAAAATACAATTACTGTACATATGTTAGCCTCATAAAATGAGACATGCAAAAAAACCTGTGCAAAACTAGTCCGATGCAGAAATAAAATGTTTATTCCACATTAGCGCGAAAGATGAACGAAAAAAGATGACGGAAGAACAGGAGGTGTGTGTGTGTGGGTGGGGGCGATCTCAGTGCTATAGATAACCAAGGAGTAAAAGTTGGGAGCTAATTCTTCTTTACCAACCCCAAAAATAATTGCCAATCAGACTAAAACGGTAATATGAAGGCCCAGCATAAAATGCAAAGTGAACAGAAATAGCAACAAAGGCCCACTACTTATTTAAAATTGACCCCCCCCCCCCCACATGCACATCCCTCCTAACTAAATGCAAATCAGCGGTTTCTTTGGAGACAACTGTTTTATACTTACTGCAAGAAATTGGGCGTTCGTTTGCCAAATACAAAAAATAAATAATTAGAGATAATAATATGGTCACAGAATAGTTTTTATTTAACACACGAGATCAAATCAACAGTGTTTTTGTAATCATTTTCACCTCTTCTCCTTCATCTTTATCTGTCTTGTCATGTGTCGTCACGTCCTTCCGTTTCTGCTTTCAAACTCTTTGCATACTTTGCATCCACTAATTGGAGTTGAGCGTCTTTAATACTGACGGTTCAGAAGCAAACAACATCTATTTTAAAATTTAACCTAAAATTTAGTTCAACGCATTAGGCATGTGAGAGTGCCCTGTAACAATATAGATCAATTTGTTTATTCAAAATTGCAACTGTTTGGCTATTTATTGCTCAATCAATAAAGTACTACAGGATTAAGTAAACTAAACAGATTAGAAATGGAGATGTATTATTGCAGTCGTTCTCAAATAAGTCTATCAGACTATAGAGTAAGTGCAGCGCTTTTAAAATTATCTCTCATTCATGTTTAATTTCGTCCTGGCGGATCTAGGACGGCGCATAATCCATTAACAATTACCTACCACTGGACAAGTGGAATATCATGCATGATCTATGTTCGTTTTTACTTATCCATTGCACATTGTGAATATTTAAAATTATGATGTAATTAACTTTACGAACTGTTTTTCTCTCGAATGCCTAATATCTCTCACTTCTGTATTTCTGCAACTAATTTTCACATAGACAAAGACGGAAGACGAGACAAGAAACGATCACAATGGCATTTCAGGTATATGGAGTATCTCTGAATATCGATATTAACAATTTCAAACGATTTCTAAAACATGACAATAAAATATTTTATGTTTTAAAAAGAATATATTAACATATACATGAGAAGATACATTTAAATTCATGGTAAGCAAATTCAGAACTACCCTGGATTCCAGAGCCTTCGACAGTAAAAAATAAATTGAAACGCCGCGAAGGCTCTGGTTCAACGGGAAGATTCTTTGATTAAACCGCGTCAATCACAAAACAGAATTAGTGGTTTTAGTACAGAATCTGCACTAAAACCACTAATTCTGTTTTGTGGCGTGGTTTAATCGAAGAATCTTCCCGTTGAACCAGAGTCTTCGCGACCACTAATTCTGTTTTGTGGCGTGGTTTAATCAAAGAATCTTCCCGTTGAACCAGAGCCTTCGCGACGTAGCTTCCCGACGAATCTTCCCGTTGAACCAGAGCCTGCGCGACGTATCTTCGCGACGTATCTTCCCTTCGCAAAGAATCTTCCCGTTGAACCAGAGCCTTCGCGAAGTTTCAATTTTTTATAGGCTCTGGAATCCAGGGTAATTCAGAACTAAGCACAATCTTACTTAAGGTTTTAAACAAATCATCTTCCTCGACCCAAAGGCACGGAATGCTGTTTCAGGCGTAAGTCCGGGGCGATCGGGGTGCAAATTTCGCTCTGCTATTAACCCCCTGGGAAAGGAAATCATTAGAGCAGCTGGAAAATTTGTTGCGCATGCGCCAGATTAACCCATTAAACCAAATATAACTGGAAGGCTAACTCCTATGATAGAGTCCTATGATTGGTTGAAGCCAGCTCGCCCCCAAAAAATTTTCACACACCCCGGAAACTGGAGGACGCATGCTCGAGGAGCGGCGATCGAAAATGGGAAATGTTCGATGTAAAATTGCACAATTTGTTGCCTTTTTCTTTCGTTTTTGAGATGCTTTATATATTTCTAATGAGCTAGGAAAAGTCTTCTGTGTATAAGAAGTGGGACGGAGTCGAAAAAGTTTGAAAATGACAACGATCAATGCTATTTTAAACGGAACATATTTCAGACAAACTGGCAACTGGCAAGATATGGTCAGTTAAATATTAACAACGCCATATAAAACAGCACAACACACAAAGATAAGTAAAAAAATACCAGTATTTTATTAATATTTCACTGGTTATTAAACAAAATTAATTTAGTTAACTGAAATCTGTCACTTTGTTCTCCATTTTGAACAACAGATTCACAATAACGCTTGCCGTACGTGAAGAGTCGTAGCATAAAGTACTTGTCGGCAGTGCACTTGATCAACTTTAGCTTGTGGTCTTCGTCCAAACCAACTTCGTTCATCCCGGGATCATGATCGCCAAAGATATTTAAATGACAGGACTCATTGACAACAAAATGATGGCAGACTTCCATGATCATTTTACTGCGTAGTTTTTCACTTGAGTTGATGTGTTTCCCATCCTTGACAACAAAAGCTTTAAAAATATGTTCAGCATACTTGACAACGGCGTAGACTGATTGCGAGGGAATGGTTAAACCGCCTCTGTTGACGAATAGTGTGAAAGCTGAGGCTGCTGGAGTGTCAGAATGTTGTGTGGTTTTTGCACCGCAGTAATCATGGTCGACTGATGAGGATGAAAGACTTGAAATGAGACAACTTCTGCAAGCTGTACAGGCAAGTAATTTTATCAACTTTTTGACTATGAATCCACTGATGTCGAACAGAATGTTTCCCATAAATTCTGAATGTCCTCTTTCAGCTAACTGTTCAACTAGCAGCTGCTCTGTTAGCGTAAACCCGGAATCATTTTCTGGCTTTTCTTCTTCGATAAGCGGGGATCTGTGTTTTCTCTTATGTAAAATTGGAATTATTCCCGAAGAAAAACCTTCTGAAAAATCTATAAAATTGGAATTTTTCGAGGCTTTCACTGCATTCGTGAAAAGCATTTTTCTAAGAGCGTATTTTAACTGCATACTGTTTGGATTATTGTTCCAACCACCCTTAGAGCGTATACACGAGAACAACAATTCAATGTGATCTTGTGAGAACTTGTACGTTAACAGATATGCAAAAGGATTTTCTTTCAGTGAAAACATTTTATTTGCCATGTTGATGGTGGATTCTATGGTAGCTACAAAACCAACAATAAATGTTTTTCTTCTGTGAGTAGAAAGAAGCTCTTGTTCTCTATTCTTTCCTTGTTTCCCAACCAGTGACAGTAGATATTCTGCTGTTGATTTTAGATAATCTTCCCATGTATCTTGTGATTTGGGTCTCAGATGCTGCTTATATCCCTTAGCCCGAGGACATCTAGAATTAAGAATGTCAAATGGTCTGTCAATATTTCTTATAAAGTTTACAGTAGGCCCGCTGTTCTTAAATTGCGGTCGCTTCATCGAAACGTCCAGAAATTCGATTGCATTTGTCACTGATGAGCTTAGGGCTTGTGCAGCTAATCTTACATTCATTTTATGTTTTTCAAATTGTAGGTGCTGTGCTGAGAATTTGTTTCCTAAATTCAATCCTTCATCTTCTTGAAGGTTATGCAAAAGATGAAAGAACTTCCTTTGAATTTCACCACCGTCACTGTCATAAAATGAACCTAAGCTGGTCAGTGCATTTCGTGCGAGTTTTAGCATATGATATTACATAGACATTGTAATTCCGTGATGGATGCTTAAACATGGTTACCATGGAGTCGTATGTTGTACCAAATATGCAAACCAATTGAGTAAACTTGCTGACATTGACAGATGTACCATCGGCAGTTATTGACCAAACCCTTAATCCTGCGTCAGCTGCCTTTTCCAAGGCCATCCTAACCAGATGTGCTTGGGTTTTAGCATTCATTTTATCAGCCAGAAAATAACCAATCGGACACTTCCACCGGGTTCGTGTTCCAACCACGGTGGTACTGGGCCATAATTAACAAAACCCGAGTACTGTTCTTTCTTTGGGTCCCACAATATTTGTTTCCTTATTGACATGGCATCAATAATGAGACCACAGTCTTTCTTCGATGGTGTTTTATCTGCCTCACTTTGCGACGATTCGAATGCCTCCTGCAGGAAACCAGGCTCGCAGTCAACTGAGCTTGATCATTTTCTAATCAAAGATGGATTTGGCAGTGGTATGATTGACCTCACTTATTCATATGCCTTTGGTGAATAAAAGTATAATGTTAGAGAGAATTCTTTGTTGTCGTCTGTGTATCGTCTGCCACATGGGGAGATAGTGGTGTTGTTTTTGGCATTGTGGAAAATGGATAGTTGTAATTTATCAAATGAAGTATGCAATCTGTCAGCGATTTCGGTTTTGACAATCAAGTTCTGCTCTAAGTTGTTGATCACATCTGACATGTTGGCGATTTTTGATTTGCATTGACGTAGTTGTTGCTGTAAGTTTCTTACTTTTGATTTCAATTGCTTATTAGATATTTCTGTATAGTTGCTTCCCATTCTGAAGACTTTTTCATAATTTTTGATTATATGCACTTTTGCTGGTTGTGGGGTGTCCTGTTGAGTGACTCGTTTCCGTACTGTGTGTACCGGCATGTTGTTGCATTCTTTTTGTAGCCGTCTTGTTGCTTCATCCGAGATGTGGCATGAAAATAATTCAATCTTGAACAATAGGGGTATGGCACTTCTTTTAAGCCTGCATGAAACTGTATCAGCTGTTGGGAGTTGAATGTAGTCATCCTCTTCAAAGTGCTTGCTGCAAATAAAACTATGCTGTGTTGCCCTCCATCCATTTCCATAATTTTTTACTCTCTTGACCACTTCCTCCCATTTTTCTAACAGCTCCTTATTCTTCAAGGGGAATCTTAAAGTTTATATTATTATATTGTACATGTAAATTGTCAGACTATGTATATACTGTGTGCAGATATGTTGGTAAATAAAACATTATGCAATTATTTCCTGATTTTTTATTGGTTTCCTATGTAAACATTGTGCATGCACATATAGACTCACCTGTGGTAGGCTATATGCTCTATGTGTTCCTCGTTTTCCTTATTTTTATTACTCCTGCATCCACAAACAACACAGCTATAAGGCATAACCTTTTTTAGAAGCAAAACACACTTCGGTTTTACATTTTTCTCCCCTTTAAAATTAGCTTTTTAATAAACCTGCTATGAGAACTTTGACTCTGACGTGAGCGACCGACTGACAGTAGCAATCATAGCAATACTTAGACAATATTTTTGTCAATTTTCAAATGCTTTTTTTTTCGACCTTAAACGTTCAATCTTCTTGAAACTTCGCATACAGATGTATTTTGCATGGGTTTAAATAATTTCTGAAGTATGACGTCTTAGTTTTATCTTAAACTTCAAAAAACTCAGAAAAAGCAGCCTAAAACGCGTGGTTTTTCTGACCGTTCATGCTTATGGCCGTGTTTTTTCGTATTTTTTTCATAATACGTGATTTGTTTGCTTTGCGAATATTAAATTCATTTATCATACTACTGATATAAACTAAATTTGGTAGTATAACTAATATTTTGGGGCAAGATTTTTCTGAGCGAAAAATGTGCATATTTTGAAAACAAAATTTAAAAAGCACTGGGTCTACCTACAAAAAAAGCTTCAAGCACGGCTTCAACTCCCCCCTTAGCCTTCCAGTTATATTTAGTTCAATGGATTAACCACCATTTCCATTGAAACTAGAAGATTTAATTTATTATATAAATAGGTTGTTCGGTATATTTTTGAATGCGATATCTATTAACTACAGACGGTACCGTTTCGGCCTTATGGGTCTCATCAGTGTAGTGCTGATGAGCAGGATAAAAGTAACTGCTATTTACAGTTACCTTTGGTGCCTCACGAATGTGGGACATCAAAATCATGCCAGAGCGCTCAAACTGCAAGCAGTGAGCGTGGCAAGTAAGACGTGGTGTAAGTAAGACGTGGTCAAAATTTGATTCATTATCCCTCCTTCTCAAATACATGCGACAAATATGCCTTATATTCACTATCACGCAGTAGCATGTTTATTTACCCTCATCCTTTTGACTGAATAAAGTTTTCTCTTTGAAAAGTCATTTGTTTTATAGCTCTTGGTTGCCGGTTTACGTTTATGTAGATTTGCCACCCATGAGACCAACAAGTTGTAGTAATCCGCGAATAAAAATGGATATTCGAAGAGCACAAAAGCCAACTCCTAACTGTGTAACTTTATCTCCTGTATTTTGAATCAATCCACAATTAACATGCTGACAATGTATGTATTTATTTATTTATATTTATATAACTTCGCCATTTATATATACCATGCAGTACAATACAAAAAATACAAAACGATACAATCTAACACAAGACAGTATAGTATATATATAGTTCAGTACAGTACAATACATACTTTCACATGGCTGGGACACCACAACAGTTAAAACCAATTACTGTGGGCCCTTTTAATATATAACTAGAAACAACAATTTATAACACTGTTCAAACTACGACAAGAGTTACAGTTTAAACACACAGATTTCCACGTTTTTGGAATGCAAGTTCATAAGTTGGGATTTCACTCGTGTTGTTTCTTCAAATTTTTGAATTTTTGTAAAATATCACGCGCGACAGCAATTTCTCTGCCAGCGACTGCAAATTTCCCAGCTGCTATTCATTAGCGAAGTCTAAAGCTCATCAATCATCACGGTGATGTGTTCAACCTCGTTCCCACGGTCTTTCTGAGAATTGCGCGAGGCGAACGAAAGACCCTGGTTTCGGTTGGTCACGTGTCATCCAGATTCTGGGTGATAAAATAAAATTATACTATGGGTAGGGTGGGAGAGGAACGTGTTTGTCGCGTTGTAAAAATATTAGCAACTTTGTGTGATGAAATTTAAATTTGCAACAAGAAATCGTGAAGAGAATGCAATTAAAAATTAATATTTATCGTGATGTGACTTTCTACTCTATAATCTAGTGTCGAGATACAATTCAAGCAAGTTGGATCAGATTTCAACTTATAGACTTGCCAAATAAAACATCGAGACAAAATAGACATTGTACTTCATTTAAGATATGTTATACTGGCTTCAAATACAAGTACATGTAATAATGTAAGCAAGTACAAATGTAGACTATTTTAGTCGGCAATACCGAGCCAATAACATCGATTTAACCACTGACAGCATTTCGATGCTAAGGTGGTTGCTATGAGCCAATTTCAATATTAGACAAATTTGATTGCAAAATTTACCACTAAGGAACTCAGAAACGAAAAACATATAATGCCAGCATGAAAGTGCATATGAAAGAGCCCCCAAATTTATATATTTCAAAAAAGTGAATTTTTTGAAAATACAATGTATGAGACCATTAAAGTAGAAATATATGCATTCAGTAACCCCTCGCCTGTGTTTTCCAAACAATCGGATTTAACATGAAGTATTAGTAATTGATCAAGACTGAACGCAGGCTCGCATTTACGTCAGTGTTGCCAAGGTAGCACGATGATTTCAATTCTTATTATATTTTTTTGAACAACACGCCAAAAATAATTGAAAGATTATCGCTTTTAACTATTTAACAATGAATTTCCGATATATGTACTTCAGGTATGTTGTTCGGCATTTTGTGAGCTTTCATTTAATTAATGTAAAATTTAACCTGAATCGCTTCGTAAAATGTTTTGAAATCAAATGCTCATTTTAATAAATGTAAATTGCTTTTTCCGATAAACAGTTTTTACTTAATAAAACAAAATAAATTTGAATTGTTCAGTAATTTCAGGTAGGTTTTCAAATTAATTTGCTCTCCTTTGCATTTTACCTTTTTTCTTAAATTAAACAGGGTAATTTAGCAAACTTTAATACAGCTTCATTAAAAAGGAAAGCAAGTGTAATTACGCAATTTATTATATACATGACAAAATTACTGCAATCTGATTGGTTAAGAGGAGTGCAATTATTTCATTAATTTTTTATCTTCTGTAATCAGTGGCAAATACTGCAATTTCATTGGTTGACAGGAGTGCGATTTGAGCATTAATCGCACCTTTTCTGAGCTGTAATCGCACTCTTGTCTACAGCCAATGAAAATCAGTCTAGTATTTACAACTAGCCAATCAGCATTCAGGATACAAACTTTGAATTTTATTTTGTTTATTGCTGTAAAAAATTTCAAAATGGAGGAATTCACAAATTTTGACCTTTTAATTTTTAAATCAGCCCTCGAAAACCGTCAAAATTGAGGTCGGAAAAAAAATGCCGTCCTAAACCTGACCTAGCTCTGCACATCTCGGCATTTTTTAAAATCTGTTTCCATGTCTTGGAGCACTGGTAGCCTGCACTAGTAATCACGTATTTACGAATCATTGAAAAGTATAAACGTCACGAAGCCTTTTCTTTAGAGTTTTACCTAAATTATATCATAAATATACCCGTTAATTCTTAAACCTTACACCAAAATACACCGAATTCTATAATCGCTGACTTTTTAACAGCTATATAAGCACCAAAAAAGTTATTACTTTGGCTAAATTAAGGTCGGCAAAACATTGCCCGACATGGGAGGTTGATAGGTCGGCATTTACTGTAGGTCGGATCTGCCGAATGCAGATCTCGTTTTCGAGGGTTGTTAAATTATATATTTTCTGACGAAAATGACCTACCTGTTTATCCAGCAGAA